TGAGGTAGAAGTCCTTACTCTAAGTTATAAAAATTTCTTTCTATTACTGACTTGAAATAAAAATAGTACAGACTAGAATACAGAAATAGCTCAAAGGAATGGGTGTTGAATACCGTCAAATGCCTTTTCCTCCGACTGGATGTGAGTACACTACATGAAGTACTTTGAACAGAAATGAGCACATAATAAGTATTTAATAAATGTTACCTATTATTGTCATCATCTTATATTACACAGACTACACGATTTAATCCCAATGCAAACTGTGTGTTCCTAGAATAAAATATACTTGGTCATGGGTCATGACTTGACTGTCAGATTTTATTCATGACTTTTTTTTTTTAATGCTAAGTGACACTGTTCTAGTGTACTAATCTTTAGTACTAACCTGTCTGGTTTTGGTACTGTCCTTGTCTCACCTTAGTATCAGGGTATGTTGGTTTCAAAGAATGTATTGGGAAGATTTCTACTCTTCTCTAAGTGCTAGGAAAGAATAACAAAGGATTTAACTCTTCCTTGATGGAGAGACACTATTTAGCCATCAAAATCATCTGGGCCTGGTGTTCCGAGAGGAGGTATATCTTACAGTCACCTTTTCATTTTCTTAAGCCTGCTAATCTATTAATATTTTCTACTTCTTGGAAAACATTCAATTTCATTTCAATTTATAGGAATTGAGGTCTAAATCTTTTTATGACTTAAACTCTCTTCTGATGTATAAGAAATACTCTCCTTTTCTATTCATAGTCTTTTTTGTGTGTGTGCATCCTTATTCTTGACCAGGCTTTCCAGGAGATTCTGCTTTATAGAATTTTATTTGCCCCCAAAGAACCAACTCTTGGCTTAATTTGTTGGGTTTATTTTCTATTTCATTAAGCTTGCCTTTTAAATCAATTCTTCACCTTCATTCTTTTAATGTTACTTTAGGTTTCTTTCCCTGGTGTTGAGTTAAATATGCATTTATTTTATTCTTTCAGACTCTTGCTTTCTGACAAGCACATTTAAATTTATGTTTTGATTGTTATGTTACACTTTGTTCTCAATTTCTATAAAAAATGTCATAGAATGTGGTCTATAAAATTTCTACTTAATGAAACTTGAAGGTTTTTTGCAGCTTAACATATTTTTGAAACAGCATTTTAAATAAACATGTGTTTTTGGTCTTGCAGACCAACATCATCTGTACATACCAATTAGATTATTAGGCATTATAGTACTCAAATCCTCTCTATTGTTATCTTTTGGTACATTTCTGGGAGGTGTACTGAAGTATCCCACTGTGGCTTTCGTTTTGCTGGATATTACCAAGTAGTAAAGAACTCCATCAATCAAGGCTATCTTTGTGGATGGTTCTAAGTTTAAGTTGGTAAGTCAATATTTCTGGCCAACACGGCATTATGGGATGACACATTCAGTAAAAACACATCTTGCTCATGTGAATGAACTGACAGAAGTAGGGGATAGAGATACTCTGGTAAAGCTGTCAAAAGATCAGATGTAGGCAGTGGATGTTCCTCATCAGACCGACGGAGAGCAAACAATTTCAATGTTCTGCTCATGAGAGTATTTAAAATTGTCAAGAGCTACAAAAGCCTGTCCCAGCTGCTAGTAAACAACCCTGACATGTGGTCAAAATAAAACTTGTTTACATTACATTATATAATATTAGAACAATTTCAGATCAGCTTCTAAAGCGCAGATCCCAGGGACAACCTCATCCTGAGCAAAAACCTCAAAAAAAACCCACAAGAGGGACTTGTTTGTTTTATTTTATTTTTGGGGGGGTGGGGGGTGGGGGGGAGTGACAGTTTATTTTTATTTTTAATTAAATTGGTTAATAAAATTATATAGGTTTCAAGGGTACAATAATTCTATAACACATCATCTGTGTCTAGCATTGTGTCTTCAGCAACCAAAGTCAAGTGTTCTTTTTAAATCCCAATTCTAAAACGGGAATAAGAGTTAAAGCACAGATTATCTCCAAATGCCTCCTGCAGTTTAAAAAAACCAAAATCCCTGAACCAGCAGCCCCCCTCCAACAGGTGCAGCAGATACCATTTGCCCTTGCCATTTCAAAGCTGTGCGGTATTATTTTACTAGATGGAAGAGGCTATAAAGCCTAGTTAAAGGTCAACTTCTTAAAATCTATTTCTGCCTTCCCCTGCACACAGGAGACCCTGG